ACACAACAGGTGCTTGTTGTTACATGATGTGGGAGACAATCACAGGGGTCACAGGGGTCGGTTACACAACAGGTGCTTGTTGTTCCATGGTGTTGGAGACAATCACAGGGGTCACAGGGGTCGGTTACACAGCAGGTGCTGGTTGTTCCATGATGTGGGAGACAATCACAGGGGTCACAGGGGTCGGTTACACAGCAGGTGCTTGTTGTTCCATGGTGTGGGAGACAATCACAGGGGTCACAGGGGTCGGTTACACAGCAGGTGCTTGTTGTTCCATGGTGTGGGAGACAATCACAGGGTTCACAGGGGTCGGTTACACAACAGGTGCGTGTTGTTCCATGGTGTGGGAGACAATCACAGGGGTCACAGGGGTCGGTTACACAACAGGTGCTTGTTGTTCCATGGTGTGGGAGACAATCACAGGGGTCACAGGGGTCGGTTACACAACAGGTGCTTGTTGTTCCATGGTGTGGGAGACAATCACAGGGGTCACAGGGGTCGGTTACACAACAGGTGCTTGTTGTTCCATGGTGTGGGAGACAATCACAGGGGTCACAGGGGTCGGTTACACAACAGGTGCTTGTTGTTCCATGGTGTGGGAGACAATCACAGGGGTCACAGGGGTCGGTTACACAACAGGTGCTTCTTGTTCCATGGTGTGGGAGACAATCACAGGGGTCACAGGGGTCGGTTACGCAACAGGTGCTTGTTGTTCCATGATGTGGGAGACTATCACAGGGGTCACAGGGGTCGGTTACACAACAGGTGCTTGTTGTTCCATGATGTGGGAGACAATCACAGGGGTCACAGGGGTCGGTTACACAACAGGTGCGTGTTGTTCCATGGTGTGGGAGACAATCACAGGGGTCACAGGGGTCGGTTACACAACAGGTGCTTGTTGTTCCATGGTGTGGGAGACAATCACAGGGGTCACAGGGGTCGGTTACACAACAGGTGCTTGTTGTTCCATGGTGTGGGAGAGAATCACAGGGGTCACAGGGGTCGGTTACACAACAGGTGCGTGTTGTTCCATGGTGTGGGAGACAATCACAGGGGTCACAGGGGTCGGTTACACAACAGGTGCGTGTTGTTCCATGGTGTGGGAGACAATCACAGGGGTCACAGGGGTCGGTTACACAACAGGTGCTTGTTGTTCCATGGTGTGGGAGACAATCACAGGGGTCACAGGGGTCGGTTACGCAACAGGTGCGTGTTGTTCCATAATGTGGGAGACAATCACAGGGTTCACAGGGGTCGGTTACACAACAGGTGCGTGCTGTTCCATGGTGTGGGAGACAATCACAGGGGTCACAGGGGTCGGTTACACAACAGGTGCTTGTTGTTCCATGGTGTGGGAGACAATCACAGGGGTCACAGGGGTCGGTTACACAACAGGTGCGTGTTGTTCCATGGTGTAGGAGACAATCACAGGGGTCACAGGGGTCGGTTACACAACAGGTGCTTGTTGTTCCATGGTGTGGGAGACAATCACAGGGGTCACAGGGGTCGGTTACACAACAGGTGCTTGTTGTTCCATGGTGTGGGAGACAATCACAGGGGTCACAGGGGTCGGTTACACAACAGGTGCTTGTTGTTCCATGGTGTGGGAGACAATCACAGGGGTCACAGGGGTCGGTACGCAACAGGTGCGTGTTGTTCCATGATGTGGGAGACAATCACAGGGGTCACAGGGGTCGGTTACACAACAGGTGCTTGTTGTTCCATGGTGTGGGAGACAATCACAGGGGTCACAGGGGTCGGTTACACAACAGGTGCGTGTTGTTCCATGGTGTGGGAGACAATCACAGGGGTCACAGGGGTCGGTTACACAACAGGTACTTGCTGTTCCATGATGTGGGAGACAATCACAGGGGTCACAGGGGTCGGTTACACAACAGGTGCTCGTTGTTCCATGGTGTGGGAGACAATCACAGGGGTCACAGGGGTCGATTACACAACAGGTGCTTGTTGTTCCATGGTGTGGGAGACAATCACAGGGGTCACAGTGGTCGGTTACACAACAGGTGCTTGTTGTTCCATGGTGTGGGAGAGAATCACAGGGGTCACAGGGGTCGGTTACACAACAGGTGCTTGTTGTTCCATGGTGTGGGAGACAATCACAGGGGTCACAGGGGTCGGTTACACAACAGGTGCTTGTTGTTCCATGGTGTGGGAGACAATCACAGGGTTCACAGGGGTCGGTTACACAACAGGTGCTTCTTGTTCCATGGTGTGGGAGACAATCACAGGGGTCACAGGGGTCGGTTACGCAACAGGTGCTTGTTGTTCCATGATGTGGGAGACTATCACAGGGGTCACAGGGGTCGGTTACACAACAGGTGCTTGTTGTTCCATGATGTGGGAGACAATCACAGGGGTCACAGGGGTCGGTTACACAACAGGTGCGTGTTGTTCCATGGTGTGGGAGACAATCACAGGGGTCACAGGGGTCGGTTACACAACAGGTGCTTGTTGTTCCATGGTGTGGGAGACAATCACAGGGGTCACAGGGGTCGGTTACACAACAGGTGCTTGTTGTTCCATGGTGTGGGAGAGAATCACAGGGGTCACAGGGGTCGGTTACACAACAGGTGCGTGTTGTTCCATGGTGTGGGAGACAATCACAGGGGTCACAGGGGTCGGTTACACAACAGGTGCGTGTTGTTCCATGGTGTGGGAGACAATCACAGGGGTCACAGGGGTCGGTTACACAACAGGTGCTTGTTGTTCCATGGTGTGGGAGACAATCACAGGGGTCACAGGGGTCGGTTACGCAACAGGTGCGTGTTGTTCCATGATGTGGGAGACAATCACAGGGTTCACAGGGGTCGGTTACACAACAGGTGCTTGTTGTTCCATGGTGTGGGAGACAATCACAGGGGTCACAGGGGTCGGTTACACAACAGGTGCTTGTTGTTCCATGGTGTGGGAGACAATCACAGGGGTCACAGGGGTCGGTTACACAACAGGTGCGTGTTGTTCCATGGTGTGGGAGACAATCACAGGGGTCACAGGGGTCGGTTACACAACAGGTGCTTGTTGTTCCATGGTGTGGGAGACAATCACAGGGGTCACAGGGGTCGGTTACACAACAGGTGCTTGTTGTTCCATGGTGTGGGAGACAATCACAGGGGTCACAGGGGTCGGTTACACAACAGGTGCTTGTTGTTCCATGGTGTGGGAGACAATCACAGGGGTCACAGGGGTCGGTTACGCAACAGGTGCGTGTTGTTCCATGATGTGGGAGACAATCACAGGGGTCACAGGGGTCGGTTACACAACAGGTGCTTGTTGTTCCATGGTGTGGGAGACAATCACAGGGGTCACAGGGGTCGGTTACACAACAGGTGCGTGTTGTTCCATGGTGTGGGAGACAATCACAGGGGTCACAGGGGTCGGTTACGCAACAGGTACTTGCTGTTCCATGATGTGGGAGACAATCACAGGGGTCACAGGGGTCGGTTACACAACAGGTGCTCGTTGTTCCATGGTGTGGGAGACAATCACAGGGGTCACAGGGGTCGGTTACACAACAGGTGCTTGTTGTTCCATGGTGTGGGAGACAATCACAGGGGTCACAGTGGTCGGTTACACAACAGGTGCTTGTTGTTCCATGGTGTGGGAGAGAATCACAGGGGTCACAGGGGTCGGTTACACAACAGGTGCTTGTTGTTCCATGGTGTGGGAGACAATCACAGGGGTCACAGGGGTCGGTTACACAACAGGTGCGTGTTGTTCCATGGTGTGGGAGCAATCACAGGGGTCACAGGGGTCGGTTACACAACAGGTGCTTGTTGTTCCATGGTGTGGGAGACAATCACAGGGGTCACAGGGGTCGGTTACGCAACAGGTGCGTGTTGTTCCATGATGTGGGAGACAATCACAGGGGTCACAGGGATCGGTTACACAACAGGTGCTTGTTGTTCCATGGTGTGGGAGACAATCACAGGGGTCACAGGGGTCGGTTACACAACAGGTGCGTGTTGTTCCATGGTGTGGGAGACAATCACAGGGGTCACAGGGGTCGGTTACACAACAGGTGGGCGTTGTTCCATGGTGTGGGAGACAATCACAGGGGTCACAGGGGTCGGTTACACAACAGGTACTTGTTGTTCCATGATGTGGGAGACAATCACAGGGGTCACAGGGGTCGGTTACACAACAGGTGCGTGTTGTTCCATGGTGTGGGAGACAATCACAGGGGTCACAGGGGTCGGTTACACAACAGGTGCTTGTTGTTCCATGGTGTGGGAGACAATCACAGGGGTCACAGTGGTCGGTTACACAACAGGTGCTTGTTGTTCCATTGTGTGGGAGACAATCACAGGGGTCACAGGGGTCGGTTACACAACAGGTGCTTGTTGTTCCATGGTGTGGGAGACAATCACAGGGGTCACAGGGGTCGGTTACACAACAGGTGCTTGTTGTTCCATGGTGTGGGAGAGAATCACAGGGGTCACAGGGGTCGGTTACACAACAGGTGCTTGTTGTTCCATGGTGTGGGAGACAATCACAGGGGTCACAGGGGTCGGTTACACAACAGGTGCTTGTTGTTCCATGGTGTGGGAGACAATCACAGGGGTCACAGGGGTCGGTTACACAACAGGTGCTTGTTGTTCCATGGTGTAGGAGACAATCACAGGGGTCACAGGGGTCGGTTACACAACAGGTGCTTGTTGTTCCATGGTGTGGGAGACAATCACAGGGGTCACAGGGGTCGGTTACACAACAGGTGCTTGTTGTTCCATGGTGTGGGAGACAATCACAGGGGTCACAGGGGTCGGTTACACAACAGGTGCTTGTTGTTCCATGGTGTGGGAGACAATCACAGGGGTCACAGGGGTCGGTTACACAACAGGTGCTTGTTGTTCCATGGTGTGGGAGACAATCACAGGGGTCACAGGGGTCGGTTACACAACAGGTGCTTGTTGTTCCATGGTGTGGGTGACAATCACAGGGGTCACAGGGGTCGGTTACACAACAGGTACTTGTTGTTCCAGTGGTGGGTGGTGACGGACACTGGTCAGATCATGCAGGACACCATGACGCTGTGCTACGAGGAGGGACGACTGCGATTAGGCCGGTGTACACCCAGGTCACCCTACTGGATCATGAATTATGAGGTAGGTGCACCCTGACATAGACTGTCACTGTCACAATCACAATCAGTGTCAGTCACAGTCACAGGCACGGGCACAGGCACAATCAGTCACAGTCACAGTCACAGTCACAGTCACAGTCACAGTCACAGTCACAATCACAATCACAACCAGTCACAGTCACAGTCACAACCAGTCACAGTCAAAAATCACAATCACAATCAGTCACAGTCGCAGTCGCAGTCACAGTCACAGTCACAGTCACAATCAGTCACAGTCACAATCAGTCACAGTCACAGTCACAATCACAGTCACAGTCACAGTCGCAGTCACAGTCACAATCACAGTCACAGACACAATCACAGTCACAGTCACAGTCACATTCAGTCAGTCACACACACAATCACAGTTTCAATTACATTCACAATCAGTGTCCGTCACAGTCACAATTAGTCACAGGCACGGTCACAGTCACAGTCCCTTCACTACATCTTGAAATGAAGATTATTTACTGTGATGAGGGTCGCTCACTAATCTTTGCTCTAACCACATTGACGTTTGTCCCACTATCCCCAGTGACGTGTGTCCACTATCCTCAGTGACGTGTGTCCCACTACCCCCAGTGACGTGTGTCCACTATCCTCAGTGACGTGTGTCCCACTACCCTCAGTGACGTATGTCCACTATCCTCAGTGATGTGTGCCAACTACCCCCAGTGACGTGTGTCTACTACCCCCAAGTGACGTGTGTCCACTACCCCCAGTGGCGTGTGTCAACTACCCCCAGTGACGTGTGTCCCACGACCCCTACTGACGTGTGTCCACTACCCCCAGTGACGTGTGTCCACTACCCCCAGTGACGTGTGCCAACTACACCCAGTGACGTGTGTCCACTACCCCCAGTGGCGTGTGGCCACTACCCCCAGTGACGTGTGTCCACTACCCCCAGTGAGGTGTTATCACTACCCAGATTGACGTGTGTCCACTACCCCCAGTGACCTGTCTCCACTACCCCCAGTGACGTGTGTCCACTACCCCCAGTGACGTGTGCCAACTACCCCCAGTGACGTGTGTCCACTACCCCCAGTGGCGTGTGTCCACTACCCCCAATGACGTGTGTCCACTACCCCCAGTGACGTGTGTCCACTACCCCCACTGACGTTTGTCCACTACCCCCACTGACGTGTGTTCACTACCCCCAGTGACGTGTATCCCACGACCCCCACTGACGTGTGTCCCACTACCCCCACTGACGTGTGTCCACTAACCAAAGTGACGTGTATTTCACTACCCAAAGTGACTTGTGTTCCACGACACCCACTGACGTGTGTCCACTACCCCCACTGACGTGTGTCCCTCGACCCCCAGTGACGTGTGTCCACTACCCCCAGTGACGTGTGTTCCACTACCCCCACTGACGTGTGTCCACTACCCCCACTGACGTGTGTCCACTACCCAAAGATACGTGTGTCCCACGACCCCCACTGACGTGTGTCCACTACCCCCAAGTGACGTGCGTCCACTACCCCCACTGACGTGTGTCCACTACCCAAAGTAACGTGTGTTCCACTACACCCAGTGACGTGTGCCAACTACCCCAAGTGACGTGTGTCTACTACCCCCAAGTGACGTGTGTCCACTACCCCCAGTGGCGTGTGTCAACTACCCCCAGTGACGTGTGTCCCACGACCCCCACTGACGTGTGTCCACTACCCCCAGTGACGTGTGTCCACTACCCCCAGTGACGTGTGCCAACTACACCCAGTGACGTGTGTCCACTACCCCCAGTGGCGTGTGGCCACTACCCCCAGTGACGTGTGTCCACTACCCCCAGTGAGGTGTTATCACTACCCAGATTGACGTGTGTCCACTACCCCCAGTGACTTGTCTCCACTACCCCCACTGACGTGTGTCCACTACCCCCAGTGACGTGTGCCAACTACCCCCAGTGACGTGTGTCCACTACCCCCAGTGGCGTGTGTCCACTACCCCCACTGACGTGTGTCCACTACCCCCAGTGACGTGTGTCCCACTACCCCAGTGACGTGTGTCCAGTACCCAAAGTGACGTGTGTTCCACTACACCCAATTGCGTGTGCCAACTACCCCAAGTGACGTGTGTCTACTACCCCCAAGTGACGTGTGTCCACTACCCCCAGTGACGTGTGTCCACTACCCCCAGTGGCGTGCGTCAACTACCCCAAGTGACGTGTGTCAACTACCCCCAGTGACGTGTGTCCCACGACCCCCACTGATGTGTGTCCACTACCCCCAGTGACGTGTGTTCCACTACCCCCACTGACGTGTGTCCACTACCCAAAGTGACGTGTGTCCACTACCCAAAGTGACGTGTGTCCACTACCCAAAGTGACGTGTGTCCACTTCCCCCACTGACGTGTGTCCCACGACCCCCACTGACGTGTGTCCACTACCCCGACTGACGTGTGTTCACTACCCCAAGTGACGTGTGTCTACTACCCCCAAGTGACGTGTGCCAACTACACCCAGTGACGTGTGTCCACTACCCCCAGTGACTTGTCTCCACTACCCCCAGTGACGTGTGTCCACTACCCCCAGTGACGTGTGCCAACTACCCCCAGTGACGTGTGTCCACTACCCCCAGTGGCGTGTGTCCACTACCCCCAGTGACGTGTGTCCACTACCCCCAGTGACGTGTGTCCCACTACCCCAGTGACGTGTGTCCACTACCCCCACTGACGTGTGTTCACTACCCCCAGTGACGTGTGTCCACTACCCCCACTGACGTGTGCCAACTACACCCAGTGACGTGTGTCCACTACCCCCAGTGGCGTGTGGCCACTACCCCCAGTGACGTGTGTCCACTACCCCCAGTGAGGTGTTATCACTACCCAGATTGACGTGTGTCCACTACCCCCAGTGACTTGTCTCCACTACCCCCAGTGACGTGTGTCCACTACCCCCAGTGACGTGTGCCAACTACCCCCAGTGACGTGTGTCCACTACCCCCAGTGGCGTGTGTCCACTACCCCCACTGACGTGTGTCCACTACCCCCAGTGACGTGTGTCCCACTACCCCAGTGACGTGTGTCCACTACCCAAAGTGACGTGTGTTCCACTACACCCAGTAGCGTGTGCCAACTACCCCAAGTGACGTGTGTCTACTACCCCCAAGTGACGTGTGTCCACTACCCCCAGTGACGTGTGTCCACTACCCCCAGTGGCGTGCGTCAACTACCCCAAGTGACGTGTGTCAACTACCCCCAGTGACGTGTGTCCCACGACCCCCACTGATGTGTGTCCACTACCCCCAGTGACGTGTGTTCCACTACCCCCACTGACGTGTGTCCACTACCCAAAGTGACGTGTGTCCACCACCCAAAGTGACGTGTGTCCACTTCCCCAACTGACGTGTGTCCCACGACCCCCACTGACGTGTGTCCACTACCCCGAGTGACGTGTGTTCACTACTCAAAGTGACGTGTGTTCCACTACACCCAGTGAAGTGTGTCCACTACCCCCACTGACGTGTGTCCCACGACCCCCACTGACGTGTGTCCACTACCTCCAGTGACGTGTGTTCCACTACTCCCACTGAGGTGTGTCCACTACCCAAAGTGACGTGTGTTCCACTACCCCCGCCGACGTGTGTCCCTCGACCCCCACTGACGTGTGTCCCACGACCCCCACTGACGTGTGTCCAGTACCCCCAGTGACGTGTGTCCACTACCCCCAGTGACGTGTGTTCCACGACCCCCACTGACCTGGGTCCACTACCCCCAGTGACGTGTGTTCCACTACCCCCAGTGACGTGTGTTCCACTACCCCCGCTGACATGTGTCCACTACCCCCACTGACGTGTGTTCCACTACCCCCACTGACGTGTGTCCACTACCCCCAGTGACGTGTGTTCCACGACCCCCACTGACCTGGGTCCACTACCCCCAGTGACGTGTGTTCCACTTCCCCCACTGACGTGTGTCCACTACCCACACTGACGTGTGTCCACTATCCCCAGTGACGTGTGTCCACTACCCCCACTGACGTGTGTCCACTACCCCCACTGACGTGTGTCCACTACCCCCACTGACGTGTGTCCACTTCCCCCACTGACGTGTGTCCACTACCCCCACTGACGTGTGTCCAGTATCCCCATTGACGTGGGTCCACTACCCCCTACTGACGTGTGTCCACTACCCCCACTGACGTGTGTCCACTACCCCCAGTGACTAGTGTCCACTACCCCCACTGACGTGTGTCCACTACCCCCATCGACGTGTGTCCACTACCCCCACTGACGTGTGTCCACTACCCCTACTGACGTGTGTCCACTATCCCCATTGACGTGGGTCCACTACCCCCACTGACGTGTGTCCACTACCCCCACTGACGTGTGTCCACTACCCCCACTGCCGTGTGTCCACTACCCCCAGTGACGTGTGTCCACTACCCCCACTGACGTGTGTCCACTACCCCCATCGACGTGTGTCCACTACCCCCACTGACGTGTGTCCTCTACCCCCACTGACGTGTGTCCACTACCCCTAGTGGCGTGTGTCAACTACCCCCAGTGACGTGTGTCCACTACCCCCAGTGACGTGTGTCCACTTACCCGAGTACTCTGTGTTTCAGACCCAGACTCTAAGACACGCAGCCACGGGCCTGTGCCTGGAGCTCAATCCTCCGCAGACCGTCGTCATGGCCAGCTGTAATGGCGGACACAACCAACACTGGATGCTGCCGAAAAGGAAGTCCTGACAACAGCCTCCCCATCCTTAGTGTTCATCATCATCATCATCATCAGCAGCAGCAGCAGCAGCAGCAGCATAACCGTTATTATCAGCAGCAGCAGCCTCAAGTGAAATAAACTTAAAAATAAGGCATATCCGCGACAAAACCCGAATTCACTAGAAATCTCTGCTAACCACAGAGTCCATTGTATGATTCCGACCTTATCATGAGCATGTGTTTGTGTATCACTATCAGGTGAGCGTATCCTGCCCCACCAGTGGCACCCATCACAAACATCTGCAAAGGCAAGTCAATTGTACACTTAAAACAACACTGTATAGTACAAGGGAAATACATCAGACATCATTTTTCCCATGTAAATTCTTTTTAAAAGATTTACTGAGGCCTTGACTATGGTTACCTTGATCAAACAACATCGGAGCAAGAGTCGTATGTACCAGGTTTAGTGAGCCAACCATTACGGTTTGGGTGAAATAATTACCATAGTTTATCCCAAATTCTGTAATTACGATTAAGTGAAATATATGAAATCGGAGAGAGAGTGTGTGTGTGTGTGTGTGTGTGAGAGAGAGAGAGAGAGAGAGAGAGAGAGAGAGAGAGAGAGAGAGAGAGAGAGTCAGATAGAGTGAAATTATTCCCTTGTGCCTCACAGGCAGTGATGAATACATAAACACATATGACATGGTGTACCAAGGCCGTCCAATGGATGAAAAAACAAACAACATTAATACCAGCAGACAGGCACATGAGTGGATTTACATGTTCACGAACTGATACATATCCACTCCCAACACCTCCCACACGTCATACACACACACTTCAACCACCCCTACACACATCGACATGTTCCCTCACCCTGCCACCCCACCGGTACACCCCCACCCACCCCTACACACATCGACATGTTCCCTCACCCCGCCACCCCACCGGTACACCCCCACCCACCCGTACACACATCGACATGTTCCCTCACCCCCCCACCCCACCGGCACACCCCCACCCACCCCTACACACATCGACATGTTCCCTCACCCTGCCACCCCACCGGTACACCCCCACCCACCCCTACACACATCGACATGTTCCCTCACCCCGCCACCCCACCGGCACACCCCCACCCACCCCTACACACATCGACATGTTCCCTCACCCCGCCACCCCACCGGCACACCCCCACCCACCCCTACACACATCGACATGTTCCCTCACCCTGCCACCCCACCGGTACACCCCCACCCACCCCTACACACATCGACATGTTCCCTCACCCCCCCACCCCACCGGTACACCCCCACCCACCCCTACACACATCGACATGTTCCCTCACCCTGCCACCCCACCGGTACACCCCCCCCCCCCCCTTCCCTACACACATCGACAAGTTCCCTCACCCCGCCACCCCACCGGCACACCCCCACCCACCCCTACACACATCGACATGTTCCCTCACCCTGCCACCCCACCGGTACACCCCCACCCACCCCTACACACATCGACATGTTCCCTCACCCTGCCACCCCACCGGTACATCCCCACCCACCCCTACACACATCGACATGTTCCCTCACCCCGCCACCCCACCGGTACATCCCCACCCACCCCTACACACATCGACATGTTCCCTCACCCTGCCACCCCACCGGTACACCCCCACCCACCCCTACACACATCGACATGTTCCCTCACCCCCCCACCCCACCGGTACACCCCCACCCACCCCTACACACATCGACATGTTCCCTCACCCTGCCACCCCACCGGTACACCCCCCCCCCTTCCCTACACACATCGACAAGTTCCCTCACCCCGCCACCCCACCGGCACACCCCCACCCACCCCTACACACATCGACATGTTCCCTCACCCCGCCACCCCACCGGCACACCCACCCACCCCTACACACATCGACATGTTCCCTCACCCTGCCACCCCACCGGCACACCCCCACCCACCCCTACACACATCGACATGTTCCCTCACCCTGCCACCCCACCGGTTCACCCCCACCCACCCCTACACACATCGACATGTTCCCTCACCCTGCCACCCCACCGGTACACCCCCACCCACCCCTACACACATCGACATGTTCCCTCACCCTCATATGACTTATTTCGCAATAATATAATGCTGTCTAATTAGGTGTGAATATTTATTTGTATATATCGGTTGAATAATGTAAAAAAAACAAGTAATTCAATGTCTTTTGAGTCGTTATCAATTATTAGCTTCTATTCAATGATGTGGACATGGTCGGGGTCTGACCAATCATCGGCGTTCAGTTCCAGTTGTTTGTGGGTGTGTTTTTAGCGCCACTGTAGCAATGTTACATCCGTTTGACGGCGGCCTGTAAATAATCGAGTCTGGACTTGACAGTCCGGTGATCCACATCATGTGCATCGATACAAGCAATTTGGATACAGTGACACGCAGTCAGCCAAGTCGCCGAGCCTGTCCACCCGATTCATTCAGTCGCCTATTGCGGGTGTGACCTGTGACATCATCTTTCTCATCATAATGATCATCATCACTTCGGCTCAGCATGGGTGGAGACAGACCAAACAGTCAACATCGTCTAAACGGAAGTGCCTAAATTCAATTCGAGTTGCGCCCCTTAGTCGTGCCAGGATCCGATCTTCAAACAAACTCCACATCCGCTTGATCCTTGAATTGTCCTTCTCCACCCCCCCCCCCCCCCCCCCCCTGCGCCTCCCCCTGAGTTTACCTAAGGGAGTCAAGTCTTTGTCCTCTGCCGTATCGTATTCCTTCCCCATTAAATAGTATTATTTCATAAACATTTATATCATAAAATATTATTTAAGAAATAATCGACTCGTTGTCGTTGTTGATCCTCACTGCAGGGAGAATTAATCATAAGTGTCGCAGCCTCAAGTGGTTTATTATCCCTGCTTTGTTTTATTGTACGATAAACAACGACCACGAGCCGTTTATTTCTTATATGAGATTCAACATTATGTACAGCCTGTTTAAGGATGTTGCTAAAATGTACAAGCTTTAAACATATTTACCCAAATTTGAATAATCATGACTCCCTTATAGAGTCCGACCTCGGAAATGTTGGACAAATTCATTTTACGTACAGGTGGGTTAAGATTGGTATTTCCTGCATATTCTCACAATCCCCACGTCGATTATCTGTACCTTTTCTCCAAATGCCGATTTGTCATATCTCTCCCACTTTTGGGGGCGGTCGGGTAGCCTAGTGGTTAAAGCGTTCGCTCGTCACGCCGAAGACCCGGGTTCGATTCCCGACATGGGTACAATGTGTGAAGCCCATTTGTGGTGTCCCCCGCCGTGATATTGCTGGAATATTGCTAAAAGCGGCGTAAAACCATACTCACTCTCCCACTTTTGGATGTGACCGTTCGGCCACTGCGTTTATCTGCGTAGCCCAGCTACGTCTATGGGGAAAACTACGACGAGACACTTCCCTCTCAAAACTAACGTCGTCTAATATATGACGTCATCAAGTTGCGAATCTCTAGTAATGAGGTCATGACAGAAAACTGTTTTGTCGTGAAATAAACTCTTCGTTCTTCATTGTTCTTTGCGATTTATCGCGTAGCTATCTTCTATTATTACATAAATAATAATTTCGAAAAATATTGTTATATAAATAATTATTTAAGAAGTATTATTTTTTTAGATTTTATGAGTTTGTATGATATTGTGGCTGCTTCCAGATGGCAAACTTGTTCAACTGATCCCATACACGTTCCGTGCAATATATGTCGTAAAACGTCTGAGACCTGCATCACTTCGGGCTTTCCTCCCACATCAAGCTGACACGCCTTGATATAACTGGAATACTGTTAAAAGCGGCGTTAAACTCACTCACTACAGGGGCGGTCGGGTAGCCTAGTGGTTTAAGCGTTAGCTCGTCACGCCGAAGACCCGGGTTCGTTTCCCGACATGGGTACAATGTGTGAAGCCCATTTCTGGTGTCCCCCGCCGTGATATTGCTGGAATATTGCTTAAAGCGGCGTAAAACCTCTCACTCACTCACACTCAATACAATATATATATATCGTCGAAAACCCGAGACAAGCAATCTCGAGCGTGTCTCAAAAACACACCTTTCAATCAAAGGCATGCACAGATTCAGCACGTGCAAGGCGACGCTATAAAGCCATTGCACGTGAAGTACGCCCCCTAAACTTCGTCGCTGACTGAAAGGTTAGTTGTGTGTCTGGAGGTATGTGCCATCATTGACATTGAGGAGTTTAAATTTTGATGCAGTTCTGTGAGATTGCCAAGAGGTTGTTGAGCGCTGTGAAATTGAAGTATTGTACAGGTCGGTGTTGGTGTCGGCTGTCCGCCTGACGATAGGTTCTACGGCTCACTCCTGCATGTTCTCAGTCTGTTTTTTGTACTGGAAGATGAAAGTCATGTAGTATTGTATTGCCCATGTTATGCAGCAGAACGTAATTTGTACTTGCAAGGATATACGGCTAATTATATATTGGATACAGCAAACCTACATTTTCAAATTCACAAAAATTGCATTTTGTCAATTTTTCTGTATTCTCATAGGAGACTTCTCGATGCCCTATACAAGTAATGTACTGTGGGTCAGATGCCCTGAAAGTGTTAACCTGAATGTGCATCTGGATAGTTTGTGTTCGACCGATCTTAATTAAATCAGTCATATTGCATCATGCTGAATGTCTCGGTAGTTGTGATGTGAGCTACATAGCACATGTGTAGTAGTGGCCATGAGATGCTATAGCAATACCAGAGAAGCCCGTAGTGTGTGTGTGTGGAGGGTCTGTCGTGTTTCAGATATTGGTGTGGAGTGTCTGTCGTGTTTCAGATTCATCATGTCTGTCGGATACACCGTACTGGCGCTCCTCCTTACCTCGGTGAGTGGAACTGTTTACACGAGGATCTATATTCACAGTTCGCCTTGTTGGGAGGAATATAACTTGTTCATTTACAAATACTTTATGGCCAAACATGCAGGGAGTTTTAAACATTTGCGCTCCATGTGATCGCGCACGCACACGCACACACACACGTAATCCCGCCCACACCCACCTCTATCAATAGCTGGTTCATGACTTACAGCTCCATGGAAGGTCGCTATATGGCTGAAATAACGCCGATAAGACGATAAATTCTACCTTCCAAGTAATCAGTATCAAAATGTTAACCTTCAGAAAAAGCATAATCCGGATAAGTTACACGCGTGAAATAAAACCCACTAGCAGTTACCTCGCGACATTACCTCCTGGTGCTTTAACAGGATGTACTTCGTCAAATATGTTCAATGACGTAACTTATCTCTGAACGAGTACCTGTACTATTTGACCCGTGAAGATCCGGGGTAGAAAAGGTCTTCAGCAACCCATGCTTGCCGTAAGAGGCGACTAACGGATCGGGTGATCGGTCTCGCTGTCTTGATTGATGCATGTCTTTGTATCCCAATTTGCGTGGATTGATGCTCATTCTATCATTCTAAAAGAGGTACGTGTTCACTGCTGGCGTTCATATACACTTTACCGGTGAAGACACGGCTTAGACTTCTCCAGCAACCCTGTAGTACAAGGCGACCTACGGGATCGGGTGGTCGGGCTCGCTGACTTGGTTGATACGTGACCGTATACTAATTGCGTGGATCGATGCTCATGATATAAATCACTGGATTGTCTTGTCCAGACTGCATTATTTACGTAATAGTTCGAATATTGCTGAGTGCGGCGTTATACAAAAAAAATCGCCTAGTCTGAGCTCGAGTGTAACAAGATATTTTTGATGAAAGTAAAGTTATGCTCGGCAAGGATGTAGGTGGAATATGGATAACTATATTAAAGCTTTCACTCGATGGGCGAGATAGGCGGGATAGAAGTTAACTTCGCATCTGCGGGTCTGCGGTGACCCGTGAAGATTCCGGGGTAGAATAGGTCTTCAGCAACCCATGCTTGTCGTAAAAGGCGACTAACGGGATCGGGTGGTCAGGCTCGCCGACTTGATTGATGCATGTCATCGATCCCAATTGCGTTGATCGATGCTCATGATATTAGTCACTGGATTGTCTGGTCCAGACTATTTACAGACCGCCGTCATATAGCTTGAATATTGCCGAGTGCGGCGTTAAACCACCAAACCAACCATATGATGTAAGTGGATGTATGTGGAGGTGGCATCCTGTCCTTGCTCACTATAAGCTTTCCCCGACAGGTCGTTGCCCGAGCGGAGATTCCCGCTGGTTACATCATGCAGGGTAGGTAACTCTGGACGTCAGTTGTGAGTCAAACTTGAACGTCACGCCGAATCAGGGGAAGAATAGGTCTTCATAAACCCCCTGCTTGCCGTAAAGCGACTATGCTTGTAAGAGGTAACTAATGGGATCGGGTGATCAAGCTCGCGAACCTGGTTGATGCATGGCATTGTATCCCAAATGCGTGGGTCGATGGTCATGTCAGTCACTGAATTGTCTGGTACAGATTCGATTAGTTAGACAGCCGTATTATAGCTGGAATATTGCTGAGTGCGGCGTTTAATAACGAACGTCACGTCGGTAATATTTCGGCCGTATTGTATTGTATTACTTTGAATAAAAAAATATGTCGGCATTGGATGGTATAACTAGAATACAGTTTAGATTTTTAAACTAGTTGAACATGTCAAAAATATTCAACGCAATATAAAAATAGGCTATAGATCGCCAAGACCAGTGCGGTCACAACGGACCGCGGGGACTTATAATATAAATGCTACCTACATGGTTCCCAGCAGTACAACACATCCCTTCAGCTGCTGGCGATTGCATGCAAGTTTAGCCATTTTGGAAAACTAGACTGGCGTGATCCGTGGCCTGCCAGACTACTCCAGTGCTGTACTACTGCCGACACTGCAGCAGCGGCCCCTAGGTCCGTCCCAGGGCGAAGGGGGATAAGTGGTTGGCAGCCTCCGGTCGGGAGCAGGGCCTAAAACAAGACTGGTCATAATGTAACTCTCAGCAATGACCATGCTCATACTATCGACCTGTGGTTCATTCGGCCGCTCCTATTTACAGGAATCGGATGCCTTGCACGGCATTCCCTCAAACTGTTCAGAAGTTAATCGTGTCAACCACCTTTTCAAACTTGAATCTGCTCATGATGCATTGTTAAAATGTGGGTTGCCGTGCAGTTAACTTTTGTATTTATAAACTGTGCTGGTGCTTTTCTTAATGTTCCCATTGAGGTTAATGTCATTTGTCAAACGTGGTGGTTATAAACAATGTGTTTTTTATATAGCCGTTTTCGTATAAAAACACGTGCCTCTGTGTCGGCAGTAACCCCCAACTGCGGTGCCAACGACAAAGCAGACGCCTCGGTCACCATCGTCACCGACCTGAACGCCAAGGCCAAGGCCGTATGTCTGGGTGGGAAGGAAGTGGCCTTCACCTCCACAGACGGGGTCAACTTCAACCTTCCCTTCTCCTACCCAGGTCAAGGCCGCAAACCATGCTCCTTCACTGTAAGTACAATCCAGGAGTTTAAGGACCGTGTCTCCAAAGTCTCAATTTCTCAAAATACAATAAGCAACCCTCACAACCCCCACCTCAAGTTGTCCTTACCCGTTACGGACCAACCCTTCTCAACCGCTGAACCCATTAAATTACCCGGAGGTCCCGTGTGTGTAATACGCATGTCGGAAAGCGAACGTTAAATCTCCAAATAGTCGGTCAATAAGTCTCCACCTTGTTTAAACTGGGTACATTTCTCCCGTGAAGATTCCTTGGTAGAATAGGTCTTCAGCAACCCATGCTTGTCCTAAAAGGCGACTAACGGGATCGGGTGGTCAGGCTCGCTGACTTGGTTGATGCATGTCATCGATCACAATTGCGTGGATCGAGGCTCGTATAAGTCACTGGATTGTCTGGTCCAGACTCGATTATTCAGACCACCGTCATATGGTTGTAATATTGCCGATTGCGGCGTTAAACAATAAACCAAGCAATTGAAAGGAACACATTTCTTTTCTGAAGATTATAGAATTATTTTAGTGGTATATGAAAGTTGGGTTTCATGCCTGTAAGTTCTGAGGTTGAAACTGTATCATTTGTCGATATGATGATCGTGTTTTACAGGCAGATTAGATGGTCACAATGGTTGACTTTTTGCGATATGTATTTTATTTTCCCTCGGTTTCTCTACCACGTGAGTTCTTGTTGAAACTCTTGGCAGTTGTGGAAAGCACGGGTGCGACGTTTGTCATTGTATAGTGTGGTTTTTGAGCGGAATAAAACTTGCGTGAACATTGGTAGCAGAGTGCGGCTACGATCACGGACCCTTGTGGTCAGCAGGCTACTATTGTTAGATTTTATGTTTCAGAAACGCACGAAGTCGCGGGTGTACGCGGTGAAGGTGATCGTGTCGTACGGCGAGCCCGGCAGTCTGGTGCACCAGTACACGGAGGAGTACACCGTCACCTGCACCTTCAGCCCCAAGGGATCTGACAGCAGCAAGAACCAGAAAATTGCCGACACGTGAGAAACTGCAGCATTGCAGCAGTCGATTCCATCTTTTACTCTAACTGCATTCTTAACATTGCTATAACCTCAGAAATATCTTATCTCGTATCTTGTTTTCTTATGGTCTACTCAATCGTAACTCAATCTGTGTACATACTCGCCGCCTAAAACGCGAACCTTAGAAATTTAAGTATATACGTTTCCAATGTGTACTATATGACACTCAAGTGTTACCACGGTGACTTTATTATCACGCGATGTGCTGCAAGTTTATATGCTACTCTGGTGAAATCTGAGTCATTGATCTATGACGTCACATATGATGCGTTCATGAGCGTCGGTTCACACAACACACCAGCAAGTTCGTTTTTGCACCGAACCAATCTAATCGTTAATATGAACTCTTCAATACATTAACCAACATATATGGTATTCGCGTTTCTTTTGACGGCGAGTACAGAAGAACATGGATATAACGAACTACAAGTGACCGGAGAAATCGGTTGGTTATATATATTTGTGCTCGGAAACGTCCGCCATCTTGGTTATTGGCAATACAGAATGTGTTGGCTTACGACACATAGACAAGTAGAAAGTTGGTGTGGTCAATACATTCCTTCTGGTTCAATTCCAGCGGCGACTTCATGTGGGTACATGGTAGTTTTGTCATCCATAAACAATCTTCTTCTCCCCCTCAGCCTGATCGCGGCCAAGGAAATCCAGACGAACGTGGGCGGCACCAGCAGCTCCACCATCCACCTCAAGATGGTGGACGTCCTCGGCCACAACCTCAACGGCAGGAGCGTGGACCTGGGCAGGACGGTGCAGCTCAAGGCCGTCAATACAGGTACGCTAGTCTACGCGTCAGTTCACCGCCTCCAACCACTACTTCAAAACAGGGCCAGCAATTCTTGCTTAACAAAAAAGGTGGTTCCTGAATTTGGTCTGTCCGCACAAACCATTTGACTAGGACCTGAAGGATGTCTCAATCCATGGGACTTGAATTTTTGACAAAACGATTTACCAGTTTTTATTTTTATTTTTCAAGAAACCTATTAAAATGCATCCGTAACGTTGCAGAAACGGATCCAGTCTCTCAACATGTGGTGACTTCAGGGATGGAAAATTCCACGGGCACTTTGCTTTGAAGTTGTTTCTATCCTACCCGTAAGAGCGCTGTACGTTGACTGGTGGTATGTTATCGCTATTGCAGGTAGCGAGGCAGGCATCCGGCCCATCTCCTGTGACGCCATCGACGGCTCCTCGGCACGATACGCCATTCTCCGAGCTGGGTGGGTATAGCTACGTCTACACTACCATGTTAAGTATTGCCATATGGCGACTGTTTTCGGTGGGTATATCTAAAATGGGTAGCCCCGATAATCGCCATTAAACATATTGGTGCTTGATGCTGAAAGTTATTTTCTCTTCTCCTTTTATTCGTATACAGTTGAAAAATGTGCCGCCGTAACTTAAAAATCAATGAATCACTTAAATAAAATGAGGCCTATGAAAAGGTGGAGTTTTTAAGTTGCATTTTGCTGTCTTCACGCAGCTTATTCAGTCTGCTATGGAAAGCGGGTATATCTGCAAAACATAACACAAATGCTTTTGCATGTATATTTTGTATTGCTCGAAAATGCCGGGTCATTGACCAAGGTTCTGATGGAACACATGGAACAGATCTACAAAGTGAAGGTCATCTGTTGTATGGCCTGTAGTCAAAGGTGACTGGCATCGTCGTCCCATGTATGCAATCCAATCCCGAATTGTTGCTCGGAATGTTGAACCCCCCTCTGCCTGCAGTGCTTGTCACTGTCGGATATGTACGACTTGTTACACCTTTCCGTTCTGCAGAGTGTATTATGCCTACCTACGATGCATAACAAATATTTTATTTTTCGCGGTAATGAGGTCGTCAAATCTACTTTCAATCGGCTGATTATATCGCCCGTCTGTGTCCATCCGCTCTCGAATTTGGTTTTTCTTGCTATTAATATTTCCTGATTCTACTGCATGCTTTTAGAAATTCTACATGGAGGTTAATGTCATTCTAATGTCAGCCACAGGGGTGATGGTAAGCTTGCCGTATGAAGCGACTTACGGATCGGGTGATCAGGCTCGCTGACGTGGTAGATTCACGTCATCGTATCCCATCGCTCGCATCGATAATCATGTCAATCAATGTATTGTCTTGTTCAGACTCGATTATTTAGACAGCCGTCATATAGCTGGAAGTGAGGCGTTAAACAACAAATTAAAGTAATCACGTTGTCTTCTACTTTGGTTCAGTGTCCAAATTCAGCATTAAACGAGGAATTGATGGCATTTCAATCGTTGACGTGTGCTTGCAATGTCCATTTCACAATTTGCTTCAGCTGCGGTGATGGTATTGTCTTCCCCAAGAACATCGGCTTCACGACCATCGGGAAGAAAACCCAAAGTCCGTATTTTGAAGCATTTACCGTCAACGTGAACTCCGCCTTGAAGTTTGAATGCAACTTCACGATGTGTGCAACCAGGTGTGACGGGGTAGGTGAATGTTTCTGCTGCAGTAGTGCCGGGCTCGTGAAGATCGGGTCTTCAGCAACCATGCTTGTCGTTAGTACCGATGCTCGTCGTAAGAGGCGAATAATGGGAGACATGGAGTCCATGTCTGTCTGGAGTCCATGTCTGTCCGGCCAACGCTAAATATGTAAAGGCCGCCATGAAGCAAAAGCGCAACTGTCGTCAAACTGTTTACTTTAGATATACTTGGTCTCGCTATAGCGTTCTGTCATCGCTATCTTTTCCCCTCACGTTTTTTCCTCCAACCTAAAAGCCATTCTGTTCTTTGTAGAATTCCTGCACCAATGCCGGCATCGGGAAAAGAGGTACGTGTTCACTGCTGGCGTTCATATACACTTTACCGGTGAAGACACCGCTTTGACTTCTTCAGCAACCCTGTGGTAAAAGGCGACCTACGGGATCGGGTGGTCGGACTCGCTGACTTGGTTGATGCATGTCACCGTATACTAATTGCGTGAATCGATGCTCATGATATAAATCACTGGATTATCGGTCCAGACTTCATTATTAACAGACCGCCGTCAATATTGCTGGAATACTGCCCGAGTGCGGCGTGACAAACGCATGCCTATTTCTACTTTATCCAGTGTTGGCATCATGGAATGTTATTCAGATTTGTTACGATCACTAGAGACCATATTTTAATGTATGTGTATGAAAATATCGGTACAAACTGTTCTCAACGTAACATTTCGGTGAGATTGCATATGTCCATTGTGCTTGCGACTCGCCTGCTCAAAATGGCTGCCATTATAACATCAAGGGACATTTGTAACTGCCTGGGCAAATGCTGTATTATTTGAACTGGTTCCCAGAATAGTTGTAGTTGGCCAATGGCGCAAAAAAACAGTGATCCATGTCAGCACGGTCACATTGAGGCTCGGTGACTGGGTTCATTGCGTGTCCTGCCCCGACAGCGTCCAGTGTTGCTCATAACATCAATCACTGGTTTGTCTGGTCCTCATTCTTTGTATCGCATTGCTAGAATTCTACCAACACTCCGAAGCTTCATTCACTGTTTGTTTTATGGTCAGATGTATCCGGGATGTCGGCACATCGAGGCTATGCAATGGTAGCTACTGACGCAGTCGCCATCGTCAACACGGCTCCAGGCGAGGGAGGGGTGGGGGACGTTCATGTCGACAGGTCGCAGCAGTAACGTGTATCGCCATGGTAACGGGTTTTAATAAAAACTCAGTCCTTGCGTCTGTTCATTTTTCTTTCCTTTCTCCGGACAATGATCTTGTAACGGTATCCATGTTCTGGCGGAGGCGGGCCCTGGTCAAGTTTTTCAACCCACACACTTCACGACTGCAGTTTACGTCGATACAAGACTCGGCCCCATTACCCGAGTTATATTAAATACCTGCAGACGAGGCCCGTGAAGACCGGGTCAGAATAGGTCTTCAGCTGCCCATGCTTGCCGTAACGGGCGACTATGCTTGTTAGAGGCGACTAACGGGGTCGGGTGGTCAGGCTCGCCGACTTGGTTGACGCGTGTCATCGGTCCCAATTGCGTCGGTCGATGCTGTCGATGATCGATGCTGTCACTTGATTGTCTGGTCCAGCCTAGATTTATTTAGACCCTCGTCATGTAGCTGGAATATTGCAGAGTGCGGCGTAAAACAAACCTACAGACGATAAACATCGCCCTACCTCCTTCACCCCGTGAATACAGGTGGTCATGACAAACATTGTGCATTTTAGGAATAAAACTCATCTGGTACAGCTACAAACTTCACCTGGGGCACAGGAAATGCTTCAGGGATAACGGACTACATTGGTCTTGGCGATAAATACAAACTTGGCCCTTCAGTTCACTGCTACAGACATTACAAGCAGCCGGTAGAGCCTGATCTGACGTCCGGGCAGTGTGTCGAGGCAGTGGGGACGACCTAGGAAAGTTTCACAAGACTTTATAAGCACGCGTACAACTCGTCCTGCGCTATTATACTGGGTCTGGGGGAATATTGTTGCATCAATGCGAACACAATCGAGGCTGGAGATTCTTCCAGGGAATATCGACTTGTGCTCTGAGAAGTGAAATGGGTTCAGTTGCTTGAAAAATTAGATTTCTCAACATTGTCCACACAGAATAGAACTCTAGGCTGTTTTTTAGAATGGTACAATCGGATTTTTTCCCCCCAGTTATCTCCTTTGCTTCTAGACAAGATCTGAATCATTCGTGACCAACTCATCCCATTCCGGGACAAGCCGAATGTAGACTCTTGTCCTTCGGAGGTTTCCTGATTGGCGCCTGAACAAACAAGAACGGTAACTCTGTACTCGACTCGCTGTAAAGTTAATGCAGCAGCTTCAGCTGATCTCGCACACATTTTTCTCGCACGAGCAAATACGACACTGTCTTCTCAATGCACGAAACGACCGAATCTGTTCTTCCATGGACAGCCTTAACATAGTGCACATTTTAAATGAATTGCAAACATGAAGGGATATGGTTGTTCTAAATATATACCAACAACATAGTGACGGTGAAGAATGTTGGCACCGCCAGCGTCCACCAGTGACATATCAGCACCTTCACTCACCAGGAGCTTCACCACATCTACATGTCCACCAAACGCTTTCTCCAACACCGATGTCAGCTCAAACAGTCCCACTCTTCCGTCGCTGTCCGAGTGACACTGGGACAGGAAACGCTTCACCGCCGCCATGTCCCCCGCACAGCAGGCAGCGTGGAGGTCAGACTCTGCTGGCTCAGGTCGTTGTGATGGAGTCGGTGTTGCTGTAACACAGAGTAAACACTGTCCTCGTGCTGGGCATCTCGCACGCACGCACGCACGCACACTACCTTACAGTGCTGGGGAATAGTGGTCAACCATTGGTGAACAGATCATGAACATATGTACATTAAGTCCTGAAGAAATCCGGAAGGAAATATTCTGATGTGAAAACCAGGTTAATGACTGTGATATGTTTTATGTCTGTTCTCACCTCGTCCGTGTTTCCAGCCTGTCCTCCCTGAGTTGTGTGCTGCCACACTCCCTGTAGACTGTGAGTCACCCGAGTCTGTGGACACAAAGTTTAGAGTGAGACAAGGACGTCAACAGTTAACATACATCCAGGTGTAATACTCCCAGTAGACTGTGGGTCACTCGAGTCTGTGGACACAAAGTTGACAGTGAGACAAGGACATCAACAGTTAACATACAGCTGGGTGTAATACTCCCAGTAGACTGTGGGTAACTCGAGTCTGTGGACACAAAGTTGACAGTGAGACAAGGACGTCAACAGTTAACATACAGCCAGGTGTATTACTCCCAGTAGACTGTGGGTCACTCGAGTCTGTGGACACAAAGTTGACAGTGAGACAAGGACATCAACAGTTAACATACAGCCAGGTGTAATACTCCATGTAGACTGTGGGTCACTCGAGTCTGTGGACACAAAGTTGACAGTGAGACAAGGACATCAACAGTTAACATACAGCCAGGTGTAATACTCCATGTAGACTGTGGGTCACTCGAGTTTGTGGACACAAAGTTGACAGTGTGACAAGGACATCAACAGTTAACATACATCCAGGTGTAATACTCCCAGCAGACTGTGGGTCACTCGAGTCTGTAGACACAAAGTTGACAGTGAGACAAGGACATCAACAGTTAACATACAGCTAGGTGTAATACTCCCAGCAGGCTGTGGGTCACCCGAGTCTGTGGACACAAAGTTGACAGTGAGACAAGGACGTCAACAGTTAACATACAGCCAGGTGTTATACTACCTGTAGACTGTGGGTCACTCGAGTCTGTAGACACAAAGTTTAGAGTGAGACAAGGACGTCAACAGTTAACAAACACACAGATAACTGGCCATTGGCAAACTCAGACATTCAGTTTGCAACATCGTCTGTCAGATGTCACTCAGATGACCCTCAGTTTCAACGTCGTGTGTATAATTTTACTATTAAAGTTATCCATATATATACCACGAACTTCACCAATAGTGTTTTACTGGCCAGAAACAAACCCAAATTCTGCTTTGCAAAGTCACAATACATAATATGATGGCAGCGGTCAATATCAACTACAAACATACTGTGGTGATAGCAAAAGTCAGTGATAATAATATATATTCCCACAGCGGCGACAGTGGTCAAGCCTCTGAGATGCGGGGAACCAGGGATGATGCGCGATCCTCACAAGATATCTGGTTACGATGTGATGAAATCGTGAGAGATACATTAGCACGCTATTGTTCCCTTATATACAACTTACCCAGCCGCTAGGAGGTTCCACACAGTGCCCTCACCAGTCCATAGACACTAGAACATTAAAGAAATGTCCATAACATACTATCACCATCCGCGGTATACAGAACCGGAGGTTCACACAGATGTTGCTGAGTAGGGCGTGTACCAACAAACAAACACAAAACGATGACATCTGCTTAATTTTATTGCACTGTGATTAATTTCCCCCAAGACTCTGCATGAGTTTGAAGAGGGTCATTCGACTCTTGTTCAGAATTTGTTTGATCAAGGTTACAACATATAAACTCCTGTGGATTCAAAATAACAAACGGACAACATGGCAAACATTCAAGGCCTCAGTAAAGCTTTCAAAAAAGTTTTAGGGTAGACATGTGTAGGACATTTCCAAATTTGACGCATCAGTGACAAAAATAAGGTCCGATGCAATTCCCTATTTTGACCTGTACCATTATGCTGCCGTGTTTTTTCAGGTGAACAATTGACTTGCCTTTGCTCGTGTTTGTGACATGTGCCACCGGTGGGGCAGGATACGCTCACCTTTTCGCGAACAACCGTATCGTCACTATTTGATACTGATTCATAAACACATGCTCACGATATAGTCGGAATCGTACTATGGACTCTGCGTTAGACAGTAGATCTGCCGTAAACATACGTGCCTCGTACTGACGCGGGAAAGGGACAATGTTACTAAGGAATGACACCATTTACTATATTCCACAATGTTGTAAACTCCGCCTTTAGGTCCTGTGATACGCGGAATGGTAAGTATAAATCTTTCATAAGTCAGGGGTCTCCTGGAATTGTCCCAAAGCAGCGGCTCAAGTGGATTTGTGTCATCGTGACATGGACGCAGGTGATACAGAGCCGACACTGGACTCAACGCATGCCCCGAGATGTTTGGAAGGAGAACCTGTGTTCGTGGTCTGAGGTCACCTGTAGATTTAACCGCGCAAAGTGAATTTGGAACCGAACACCCTGCGCAAGCTTTCAAATGTTAAAATAAGTTCGGTTATATCTGCCGGTAACCTAGCCTTACATTGAAAACACTGTATGTTTATCTCCATTCCACGGTGAATAAATAAAAGGCGAACTCTTTGGTCTTAGCAAATATATTGAGTGAAGCGGCATGGGTTGAAACCAGTGTTTTGAGTGGGTTGTCGAACCGAATCAACGGATTTACCTCCCAACAGCCATTTAACAAAATATGGCGATCGTTTTACTCAAGCAGTTGCTCAAGCACTGTACTACTTCACACAAAGGTATGACAGGCATTTAAAGCATTTTATTGCAGTGAACATAACACTTTGACGGAAACATTGTCATACAAAAGTTACCTCCCTTCAAATTGTCTCCCTTGTCGTAAGGCCGTACACAAACGTCCTTTTAGTGTTAGTTCCATCTTAACATGGCAAAATACTGACACTCAACAATATTCAAGCCTTATGATGGTGGTCTGTAAATAATCGAATATGGGCCAGACAATCCAGTGATTCATCTCATGAGCGTCCATCTACGCAATTGGGATACCACGACATACATCAACGACGTCAGCGAGTCAGGCCACCTAAGCCCGTGTTTTTAGTGAAATTGTAGGGAGAGAAAATAAACCACGCCGAGAAATATTTATCCCTCTTGGTACCACGGGACCATATATGTGTATTTTGAACTGTGATGTCAAACACTGAGTAATTAAAATAAAAATAATTACCATCATCGCTCCAACCATCTCATCTTTAACATCGTGTAACCGGGATGGGGTGGTCAGGCTCCTCAACATCAGGAAACTATTCATTCTTGGCCACCAAATTGGTCTAATCATCTGCTTTCTAAGAATGTTTTTATGACTCGTATCTCCATATGTATACATAAGTGTTCATCCACAAGTATGGGCTTTGTCCCAGACATATGTCGCATCCTCCACAAGCATTCATTCTAATGTCACCTGGAGGCATTTCTTAGTTCC